ATCTGTCACCGAGTCGGTGAGAAATTCAAGATCAAAGGTATCTTTCGCCTCTTTTGGGCAGCTCTCCAAATTACGTTCTAGTACCTCTGTATATAGATCCCAGTTCGTTTTTCTTGGGGTTCTGTACTCCCGTTGGGTGTTAATTGTTGATTCAAGGTTAATCTTACCTTGGTTAAGATCCTAAAGGGGGCGGACTCTGACTCCGGCTCTGATCGCAAGCGATTTTTGAATGTCGTTACTACTGAGCTATTCGGGACTTCCATTTTGGTGTAGCCCTTTTAATCGGGAATAAAGAAAGGTACTTCGAGAAAACGTCAAGAACCACGAATAAATAAGTGACACCACCTCGAGACCGCGGTAGCGGACCGTAAAAGTCCACAGAAATCAACTCATTGACCCGAGAGGGGAGTATAGAACCAAGTGGTGGTTTAGGTAATTCCGAATTTTTACTTTTTAGGACGCGTTTAACGTCGCGGTGCATATTCTGCCACCAACATTCGCGTCGAAGAGCCACCCAGGTTTTAAAAACCCCAAAATGTCCAAGGGTTTCATGAAAAGCAAGTATAAAATCCTTAATAAGGGCCTTGGGAACGCAAACTAGCGATGCTTGGTCGTCAGGTTTTCTCAAAAACATTACTTTCGATTTCGATTCATATTTTGTTAAGTTTGGGGTCCTCGCGCTGCGCTTGACTCAAGGCTGGCAAGCTGTCTTGAAATTTTTTTGACCAAGACATACTAACATTGAGGATACGAAAGCACCTATCGCTAGGGACAGGGAGGCCTAACGGCGGGTTCCTAGAAAGTATATCTGGTACCACATTGTCCTTGCCAGGTATATAAAGAATTTCAAAATCGTACTCCTGAAGGGCTAGGACCCAGCGAGTGATACGCGGGACGAGCAAGCGGCAGGTGCTTAGGTACGAGAGTGCCTTGTGGTCGGTTAGCACGTAAAACCGTTTTCCGAGCAAATGATCTCTCCACTTGTTAAGCGCAAATATAGAAATATACCTGTATTTTTGGACAGTATCTCCAGATTTGACCTCCTAGCAAGATATTTTGTGATTTGTAGAACGGATGGAGTGGATGTTTCAGGATTTAAGTTTCCATATTGTCGAATGGCGGATGTAGAAATATACCTGTATTTTTGGACAGTATCGCAAGATTTGACCTCCTAGCAAGATATTTTGTGATTTGTACAACGGACGGAGTGGATGTTTCAGGATTTAAGTTTCCATATTGTCGAATGGCGGATGTAGCTTGCTGAAACCGTAAGAGTTAAAACTTGTATTTGGTCAGTAAGAGTCCATTAGGACCCAGGACCAGTTCTCCAAAGAAAGAACGAAAAAGTAGAAGAAGAAGACTGAGCTATAGATTTTTAGATCATCTGCGAAAAGTACAGTTGGGAGCAATAGCGCTATTGCTTCCAACTGTACTTTTCGCAGATGATCTAAAAATCTACAAAAAGGTTTCATTATCCCGAGTGAATTCTGATCCGAATTGACAATTAATCTTTTTTTGTTTATAAAATTGCCGACGTTTCGAAGTTTATTTTTGTCTCTTTTTAATGCAATAAATAGGATTACCTTCTCGAATTAGTCCATGAACTTTTAATAGAAGACTCACAAATATAAAAAATAAATATCTAAACAAACAAAATATAAATCTATACTCTCTAAAAATGAATTAGTCAAAAATGACTAATTTAATAGTTATTAGTGGCTGCTTTTTCACTTGTACCATGGTTAACCATGGAATACCATGGTATCCCAAAATTTAACAGCCAATTCTTATGTAAAATTGTCCCCTGAATCCGAAAATGTCGTCAAAAGTTAAAAAAAATAGAACAGTTTTTGAGATATAGTCAATATTCCATTTAATATGGAATTGAGAATATCTCAAAAACTACTCCACTTTCATAATTTTCGGATTCAGAGGACAATTTTACATAAGAATTGGCTGTTAAATTTTGAGATATCATGGTATTCCATCGTTAACTATGATACAAGTGAAAAAGCAGCCACTAATAACTATTAAATTAGTCATTTTTGACTAATTCATTTTTAGAGAGTAGACACAATTAATTGGATTTAAATTAAACACGTATAATATAATAAAAACACTAAAAACACACAAAAAATTAACATTTAAAATAACCAATCATTTAAACCTTAGCTGCCTTTTTTAAATTAATTCCATAAAAACCGCTCTTATTAGGCACACTCTCTTAAAATGAATTAGTTAAAATAACTAATTATAAGTCATATTTGACCAATTGTCATAGCGAAAAAGCAGTCACTAATAATTAGTCAAATTCTACTGTCATGTATGTCACTCTTATAAAAATCAATTTTATTTGTCAATAAATATTGTTCATAATATTTTAAAGTTGAATATATTATTTGTGTTGCTGTTTTGATCTAAACTTTTTGCATCTTTGTTTTTTTTATGGGCCATTTAACCATGGAGCTTATATCGATGACTTTCTCCCAAAGTATCGCATGCAACATAACTGACATTTCGGGAGTTGAAAACATTTTTTGTTTTAAAGTCTGTTTTAAATTAAATTAAGCTTAAAGGTTTTATAAGAAGTAAATAGCTTATAATTATATCTATTTACTTGTTATAAAACCTATAGGTTATATATGGTTTATATACCGAAATTTGACTTATGTTGCTTGCGATACTTTGGCAAAAAGTTATCAATATTCATTTAATTCAAATAATACTTTGTTGTTGGCCGCAAACGATTAAAGAAATTAGTTACTTTTAACTCTCAGAAATAGTCAAAGATGGTGACTAATCTTAAATTAGTCAAACTTTGACTATTTACGCAGTAAAAGTGAAAACGACTATTTTGTTAGTAAAACATGCTGGTACTAATTCAAATAGTAGAATTTTGACTATTTTATTTCAAGAGAGCACATTATTAAGTTTTTTAAACTTAAATGCTTTATAACTTCCCTACTAAAAATTTTACGTTAAAACAATGTTTTTCCCACGTTGGAAAAACCTAACTTATGTATAATTGTATGTTGAAATGTCTCGGTTTATAACGTTATATGACAAAGGTACTTTCTAATGTTATAAAAAACGTGGGATTTACGTATTATAAAAAGTTGGAAATACGTGGGATTATTGTATTATAAAACGTTGGATATTTGAATAATTTTGGGTAGGATTTTACACTGCCAAAATTAATGGTAAAATAAAAAAATATTTAAAAACACTACAAAAATTTATTGTACATAAAACAAATACATACACTTTTGAAGAAACAATATTGCCAATAAACAAAATATAACAAAATGTATTAAACAAAAAATTTACAATGTAGTAGTTTTGGGCATTTTAAAAAGAAAAAATATTGCCCATATGCAATATATTAGCAACTTTTAAATGAATATGAATAAAAATATAAAAAATCTTATTTAAATAATAACTAAATTAATTCAACTATAACATAACCTAAAACATAGGCTGAATAAAAAAATTGCATATTTTAGCAATTACAAATATATAAAAAAAATGTAGGGATTTTTGCTTTTGTATAAACATTTATTGCACAAGCTGGAAAGGGAAAAAATATAAGCAAAAATAATATGTTTGCTTATGTTTTTAAATACACTTAAAAGTTATAAAATTTATTTAGTATAGTATACAAATTTATTTATTAAATGCAAAAGCTTGTACCCTAAAAATGCTCCAAATTTGGAGAATTGCTAAAAAAAATCTAAAAGATTTGGATGGTAAACAATATACAACTATAAAAGTTCTTCTCCAGTGGCAGAAAACATTATGAAGGTTGAAGAATTGTCTAATATTCTGAGTTTGTTTTCTTTCACAAAAACTTTTTGTTCCCCTGGGTTACCGGGTCCTTTTAAAGAATTTCTTATTTCCTTTATTTTTGTAAAAATATTGCTTTATTACATCATCATGAACTTCTGCTCTGGATCTTTTTATTTTTTTAGCATTCCTTTGAGTTTACACACAGTTTTGCTTTACGAAAGATTTTAGCCAGTCGTTGCCAGAAAGGTTTTCTTTAAAACAACTAATTATTACTCCTTTGTGGTTTAGATAGGACTGCAATCTTTTATATCTTGTTTTACAAAAGATTATCAATAATTCACAGCTGTAATCATTATACTTAAGTATAATGATTACAGCTGTGAATTATTGATAATCTTTTGTAAAACAAGATATAAAAGATATATATAACAATTGTTATATGCTTTTCTTTGATTTCACTTAAGGCAGAAGCAGTGTTGCCAATGACCTGATAATTATCAAAATCTACTATAATTTTGACTACGATTCAATAATCGATAATGACAAGCTAATCGACCATAATTCATTGAAATAAATTAATTACTAACTTGTGTTGTGGTTTTGGGAACATCAAAGCGGGTAGCAATAATTTCTTTGATACACCGCGGTGCACCGTTCCAGGCACATGTTTCTGTTTTCTAGGCATCGTTCTATATAACCCTAAAAATCCATGCTAAAAAGCAACCTTTTTATAAAAATACTAAATAGAGTTAGTCGTATTTATTAGAATTATTATTATTATTTAATAATTTAAGACTCTTTAATATAAAACCGTACAGCAAGTACATAAAAACAGTACTTATAAAAACGTATTGTTTATACCGTGCGTATACACAATTATATTAATATATATTATATAATAACTTAATTTACTACAGTAACAAGTTTGAAATACGGTATATTCCGCTCTAGTGAAAAGTTTGTTACCCGAGCCGAAGGCGAGTTTGACGGTTTCATGAGAGCGAAATATGCAATTCCAAATGTGTTTTAGACTGCACTTTTTTTACGTTTGCAAACATAATAAAGACAGATGTCGGCAGTGGATTTTATTGGTATAATTTAGGGCCGGTTGAATATCTAAAAGGTTAAAAATATTAATTACTATATTACTAATATTGTTTACCTGGCATTAAATTTCATAATAATGTTATAATAATTATAATTTATTTTTCAGGGAATTGAAAATTGCTTGCACAGATGCTTTGGCAGGCAAAAAAAATACACAAGAAATTGGCGTTGAAAAAGTGGACAAATCATTAGTTGCAAACTTCGAAATACTTAACTTAGTTCCTGAACGTAGCATCAAAGAAAATGAGACTGGTAAGTATTAGTAATTAATTATTATTATAAGGCATACAATTTTTAAAATGAATTTTAAATTCTAATATTTTAGTGTTTTAAACCCATTTATTTATATATTATACAATTTAAAACGATTTATAACGACGTTTCAAAAATTAAATGTTAAATTTTGTTAATAATATCAGAAATATTCCCCAACACCAAAACAAAACACAATAATATGAACTAATTATAATGTTAACTAACAATGGTATGCTGATTTAAAGTTTTGATTTATTGACTCACATAATATAAATCTCAGATTGCCGAGATTTTTAATCTTAATGAGTAAAATATTAAAAAAAAATTATTTTTTTAAATCTAAAATAACTCAAGGTAGATTGACCTTTTTTCAAGGGTTTTTATTTGTTTTAAGATTTAAGAGTATTTCATCTCATAAAATTGTAAATTTTTTGTAAAATATGTATTTTTTAAAGATATCACAACAATATCAAACATGAAATGGAAGCGGGTTGGCTTAGTGTCTGGGAGATCGGTGAGATTGGACACTATCATTTGGCCTGGGGGAGACTTATCAGTGGCTGCAGTATCGTCAAGAGCAAGAACAGTTTTTAGAGTGGTTACGGCTCTGGCTCCACCATTTGTCATGGAAGGCGAATTGGATGAGGATGGCCAATGTCTTAGAGGTATTGTAACGGAATCAATATGCTTTCTATTGTTTAGTATTACATTTTCTTTCGTAAAAAACAATGCCAATGCAGCAATGTTATGTTTAAACCACATTAATTGATTAATTAATTTGTGAGTTTTTAGTTTTCTATGTATTGCCTGTTGAAATTAATTATTTAGGAATGTTATTATTCTTAAATTTGATTTTCAACTAAAAAGTCTATAATATATATTAAAAATATTTTTATGTAGGTTTATGACCCTATTAACATATACTTTTATTTTTTAAAATCAAGTTCGTTTTGTCGCGACTTTTACATTAGTAAAATAAATAAATGCTACTTATAAGATACTCTTAAACAATCCTTGAATGGCTAGGTACGCAAGAACGCAGAATAATAAGAGGGCACGGAATGTTTCTGCAGAACGCGTTTAAACGGCTTAGCCACATTCAGATTTTTAATGTATAAAAATAAGCTACTGTCATTTTTTCAACGCAGGGTTTTGAAATACCTCTCTAGATCTAGTAAAAATATTCTTTTTTTAACATACAACTTAAACAACGGATTTGGATCGATATATCCATTTGTTTACTTTAATATTTATTAGCAACTAGCTTAATACCCGGGGCTTTGCTATAAAATATAAATAAAATTAAAGCGTATGTCTGTGATTTTTCATATTTCCGTTTTCTCGTTTCCGTTCAGTTCCGTTTCCGCTTTGCTCGCTTTCTCATTCCCATTAGTTAATAGAAAAAAGTGCAAAAAAAGCTTGACATTTGATGTCTCTTGAAAATTTATAACTTTGATAATAACACTGGTCAACAGTGTTTGGGTTACCAGCAATTTTTTTAGGGTAATTTGGGTGCGCTGATTTTAAAAATGGCCCTTATATTGTTTAATTAGCTATTGTTTTCGAAATATTGTAAAAAAAAAACGTTTTTTTCGATATACAAACATTTAAATTCCTAATAATTAAACTAAAAAAAATAATTACACATAATCATAAAGTAACTCCCTTGAAAAATCCTATTTTGATCGAAATAAAATCGATTTTTAGCAAAAATTCGACAATTTTTAAAGTTCAACCTGCTGTTCAGCGAACAATTTTGGTCCTATTTCATTAAAAATTTATATTTATGAGAACTTTTGTTTCTGGCATTTGTACGACTCCTTAAATACATATGTTTGTGGAAAATCATTATTTTTTCTTTAAATAACATGTTTCGAAAAAAATCATTTTTGCCATTTTTTTACATTTAATTTAGTAGTGAATCATGCAAGAACGTTTTTTTTTTAATTTTTAAACATAAAAAATATAGTTTATATCTCTAATAGTGTTGAAAATATAAAAATAAATTTTCTCGCTATAGCGAAAATTAACAATAGATGTGTGCGAACGTTTTTTAGTTTTTACGTAACATCTTAGAAAACGGGGGTGGAAACTTTCAATTAGCCCACCCTGTATGTATGAATATGTAACTTAAACTCATTTTAATTAGGTTCTTTTATATACATAATAATATACATAATTTTTATTATTCCCCTCTAACTCAAACAGTTTAATATGTCAGATGACAAATCAACTTGAAGAAAGTTGATTGTAATACCAAAAATGAACTTGAGCCAAGCATAAGAAAAGTTTTCGGAATGATTACCTTCCAGAGTTCATGTTTCTACGACTTAAGTCGTACAAGCGAAAATAAACGTAAAAATAAATTTTGAAACGCGCGGTTGTTTAAAGTGCCATTTATGTCATTTTTTATTTGATTGCGTTGAAATTTTAACACAATAAAGTAGATAAATGAAATTTATTAAAATCAAAAGGCAGTTTGAACTTTAAAAATTGTCGAATTTTTGCTAAAAAAAAGCATAACTCAAAAGTGCCAGACAGTCGGTGACGGGAGACACGCATCAAGCTCGGCACTGTTCACTTATAATGAAATAAATTACCAGGACAGCGGCGAGATGTATCGGCAAGTCAGTCTGGAGGCATCTACATTCTAAAGACGTGGCCTCGCTGTGCGGCGTGCAATCACAATGCACTTAGACACACACACACTGTAAAAACTATTACATGAATATCCATGGCATTAAGTATCCTATATTAAATCTTGTAATTTTACTTACCATAATATGGTATACATATTATTTAAATTTCCAAAATGATATGTGATATTACAAATTTTATTATTTGTGTATATCCCATATTTTACATGCAGCTGTATGTAAAATTTTGTAAATTTACCCTAAAATTATAAGTATTTTTACTTAATTTTTCATAGAGGTTATGTAATATATTTTAAAATTTTAAACTAAACTGCGCACCACTCAATGTGTGATGTCTGCTAGCCTCATCCTCTGGTAAATCATGCTATTGATATGAAGCTCACGGTTCTTCAAGAAAATTTCCTACAGGGTGATATGTTAAACGGTGAAAAATTTCAATAACTTCATCCAAGCCCCGTTTGTAAAAAAATATTTTTTTTTCGTTTTTACTTTGAAATAATGAGGTATTATGTCTTACCTTGAATCATGTTTCAAGTTTTTTTTTTAAAGAGTACATTTAAGGGTTTTTTGAAGGCAATACACTCAGTTTTTTTAGGAATAAGATGATAAGATGGTGGAAAATGGTTTCTTAAATAATTCTGAACAAGCGACAAGTATGAGGCGCCGTTTGTTTCATTAATAAATGCTAAAATATATATAATATTTACTGATATATATTTATTTTTATTAAATACCTATATATATATATTTTTTGCAAATTTATATTGTATATATATTTTTTTTTAAATAAATATATATTTAAAAAAATATATATATATTTTTTAGTAAAGTTACATATTTATATAAAAAATGAGCTTATGAAAACAGTCGCTTGGTGGCGTTCACGCTGCAACAGCTGACGCGTGCAGTGCTGCCAGATGAACGGATTTATCCGTTTTTAACGGATTTTCCAGGTCTAGAGAAATTGGAAACGGATTTTGAACGGATTTTCATCAAATACGGATTTTTACGGATTTTTAAGATAGCTTCATACTAATACTAAAAAAACATCATTTTTGCCCCGTTTTTTGATCATCTTTGTCACGCTTCTATTCCTCTTCCTTTTTACTACGTTAGACAGAAAAAGAAAGCGGATTGAAAAAGGATGTGTTCTTAATATAGGGTTCTTAAACGCCGAATATATGCGAAACATATGCTTTTTCATTGAGTGTGACAAAGAGAACGATAGTTTCATATCATTTGTTAAGGTTTTATAACACGTTGTTATTGCTGCCAATATATAATTAAGCGGCGCAATGCCACCAATAGTAACGACTAACCAATACTGACTCCAGTTCAGTGCATTGAACTGCATTGTGGCAATATTTTGATCTCAAAGTCAATGTTTATTATATATCCGAATCTGTATATAAAATACTTTATTTTGTGAAAAATGGAAAGTGACGAGAATTATATCACTGACGAAGAGGTTCAAACTTCTGAAACTCCCCCGAAAAATTCTGAGATGTTTCGGATTTTCTTTGACGAAAGGTATGTTTTGTCACGAAAATCCCCCTTATAGAAGAAATTTTTCGAAATTTAGACAAAAACGGATTTTTACGGATTTTTCGAGGCTTCCCCCCACCCTTTCCACGAATATATACGGATTATCCGACCATCTGCTCTGGCAGCACTGGACGCGTGACAAAAGTTTTGTCACAAAACATTACATTTGGCGCTTTCTTTCTTCCGACATTGTTATTGTTATTGGTCTAGGATTCTTATTAAGTTTGTATTTAAATATAAATACTAGATTACTTTAGATTAGTTATGGTTTAGGCTTGTTCATTTTTAGTGTTATTTATATCTAGATGTTGTCTTAAATTTATTGGTTAGCTATTTTTGGCTCGCAGAAAGCCTGTTGCGGGCGTATTATTTATTTATTTTATTTAGGATAATGCCATAGTGTTAAATTGTTTAAATGTCTATTTTGTAAATTATTTATAGTTGTTTCTGGGCTAAAACTTATATCAGTAATTACTGCCTTTCAGTCCTTTTTGCAGAAATGTGTAATTGTGTTTCATTGATGTATATTTTTACAGTTACTGCAAATAAATTATTATTATTATTATGTAGACACTGGATCACATATTTAGAGATATGTGCACTACATAAAATATTTACTTCAAATCAAACACAATTACCTACCGGCAATTTCTTGTTCATAACCCTTTTTAATCTAGTTTTATAACATAACCTTGCACCACTATTTTCGGGTCAGCTGTTGCAGCGTTGCGTTTGCGAAGTGAACGCCACCAAGCGACTGTTCGCATAAGCTCAGTTTTTATATAAATATGTAAGTTCACTAAAAAATATATATTTATTTTTTAAAAATATATATATTTTTGTTTAAAAAGTAAATATATATATATATTTATTTTCAACAAAAAAATATATATTTGCAAAAAATATATATATATTTAATAAAAATAAATATATATCAGTAAATATTATATATATTTTAGCATTTATTAATGACACAAACGGCGCCTCATAGACAAGCAACAAACTTCCATTATTAAGCAAAGAAAAAAAATTTGCGAAAACTAAACCTAAACCGATATTTAGTACGTTATTATCATGTCGTTGAATAATCAAATCGAGGATCAAATGATGAAAATTAGTTCTTGAAAAACATTCAAAACGCATTATGAGGGATATTCTTGATTTTTTCAGTTTGCTTGTGTTTTTCCAAATTTTGAAGTTTTTTGCATAAGTTATACCTTCCTACCTACATACCTACCCCTATCTTACCCAGGTTACTTCCATTCTTTCTTTAAAATTTACCGTTGATTTGAAGATGTTAATTCCCGTAGCTGCAGCAATCAACGGTTCGCAGAAGATTGAAAGTTATTATTGTTATTGTTTGTTTAATTTTTCTGTTAAATGTTGTAGTTTTGATTAAACGTATAACTTTGCATAAAATTAAAAAAAAAAACAAAATTATTTTTATTTAACTTTATTAACAA